AATGGGAGATTTATGCTAAGTCAATATTAATACTCTTAATATTTTAAATAATTTTTCATAAGACAGAATCAAGTCCTTGTATTTTTTCTTCAGGAAAACTGCTAGTGTTCTTTTAGGAAAGTCACTGATCTTAATGGTGGAGCAGAGCAGTTACATTTTTTTTCACAAAAGCTAATTAAGAAGAAATGTAATTGTCATTAGGTGGGCAAGATTCCAAAGAATTATTTTAAAGTACTAAAATAATATTGCCAAGCAAATCCAAGATGATGTTTTGTTAACAACTGATTTTCCTGTTTGCATTTTACAATTTACAAAAAACTTTAATGAGCTTCACTTTTTGTCAAGTTAGATCAAATTCTAGAGTAAAGCAGAGATATGAATACCTTTTATTGATCAAACTAAAACAAATGTAAGTGTCAAATAGCTTTCTAATGTACATATGGAATATCTGCTGACATCAACCCAAGTTCCACTGTGGATAAAAGGTACTAGATCGCCATTAGTTTTTAATCTGAGTTTTATGATGCAAGAAGTGGCAATTTATTTATATTTTTAATTCTGTTACCAGTGCAAACTCATACTTCATAAAGTATCTCTATAATAACCTTGTGAGGACATAGTAAACCAAGGAGTGAAGCTATTTATCAAGCTGTGTTTTCAACTTAGCACCATGCAATGTACTGCACACAATGGGTATGTCTACACAGCAAAGAAAACCCCAGAGCCAACTGAGGCTCACAGGACTTGGGCTGTGGGGCTGTTTCGTTGCTGTGTAGACTTCCGGACGTGGGCTGGAGCATGGACTTTTAGGACACCACATGGTGGGAAGGTCCCAGAGCTTGGGGTCCAGCCTGAGCCCAGAAACGTACACAGCAATGAAACAGCCCCGCAGCCCAAATCCGAGTTGGCTGACAGTTGCTGCGTAGACATACCCAGCATCACTTTGGGAAGTGCTTGTGAAACTGTTCTTGTTTTTATGTGATGAAACTTGTAAGCTGTCTTGGCAGGACAGAAAAGAAATTTTGTCAGAAGTAGGGGCCACTTTTATTTCACTGCTCTATTTGCTTACTTTACAGAACAGCTCTTCCAAACAGGTCAGTCCATTATTTGTTACTGGCAATTGAAAGTAGTGTAGTCCGAAACTATTTTTCAAATAGATACTCTGTTAGCATAATCATGAGAAAACAACTGTGTTCGTGCCATACACATGCCATGAGTGGAGGTGGGTTGGAGGTTGGAGGATTTTTTGCCATTTCATTAAACAAATGCACTACTTATATCCAAAATATTAAAACACTGTCTGGCCAAAATAATTGACTAACCAGAGCTGAACCACATTTCCATCGGCACCAACAGATACATCAGTAATGCCATCACCATTTAAGTCTCTATGGCCGTCTACTGATCTTCCAAAGTACTGGAGTTGCTGTCCAAAAGCAGAATTTGATCCTAAAATTTTCTAGAAAAATAGAGCTTGATTACTGACAAACAGCAGCATAAGCATTTGATTTTCACAGTTATTCTATTAGGATGCAACATATTTGTTTAGACAAAAAAACTCTTTTGTAGATGGTCTCTCTATTATTTGTAAGGGTTCCTTTTTTCTGAGACAGCAAATAATTTTTTTTTTTTTTTTTAAATCTTGGAAGTAAATTGACCAAGCAGACAGATTGCTGCATGCCAACTAGTCATTATTGAAAAGCTTTATTTCCATCTCACATGAAGCAATTCTCAAGGATTGGAAAATTTAACAAATCTTCTAACAAACCCTTTTTGCATCAGGAGAATTCTCATGAGAGAAACATGTTACAATATTATTATTTCAATCTATGGGATTTAGGTATCTAATTCCCCTTTGAATGTCTCCTCCTTAAATACTATACTTTTAAAGCCTGTACATTTGGAATTAACCCAGTATTTTCTGGTGTGCACCAACCCGGTAAGGCTAAAATAATGGGCTGCCTAAAACCTTTTCTGGAAATGAGTCAACTTGGTGTACAGGAGTAAAAATGTAAATATAGATACAGCGGGCTAGGCTTCCTCCCAACAAATGTTCATGTCACCTATCTCAGTACCCCTAGCTATCAGCTGCACAAGTGTTATCCTGGGAGTGTTTAGGGTTGGCATATGATGAAGGAAAAGGAAGTGATGCTGAAAACAGCCAATAAAAGCCTACAGAATAGGACAGTATTTAAAGAGGATAGAATACCAGCTAACAAAAAACCCTCATTATATCAAATCCTTCATTTTGAACCTAGCTGAATTTTTGTATCTCATCACAAGCCTTTGAATGCAGTATTATGTAACAAAGTTATTTACCTGTGAATATTTGGTACGTATAGTCCTTAGGTTGCCATTGTAAATGTAAACTGCTCCAGAGTTCTGATTTTCTAAGGGTGCACCTATTATCACATCATTAAAACCATCCAAATCAATATCTGAAAGGGTCGCCATAGCAGATCCAAACCGAGCATTTTCTAACCCTTGTGGACCTTCTAAGAGTTCTTGTTGATCCAAAATTCCCTTTTAAGAATACAAGAAAGAACAAAACTACTGTGTCAGTAGATTAAAGGAAAAAATACCTGCATTATTCTTTTCCAGTGTGCATTTCCTTGGACTTACCAGCATTGAACTGTATGTGCCATCATGTTACCTATTCACTTAGCTTTGTTAGATCCTCAGTCATAGCAAATGTTACAGCAGAAAAATTAACGCATGCAAAAAGAGGTATTAATTGCACATATAAATGCATTTCTGAGACTTTACAATCCTCAGTTTCCTCATCTGATTGTTCTAAATGTTCCACAATTTTTCAAATATCCATTGACGAATTTTTAATGGCGAGAGTAATTAACCATTGGAACAATTTACCAAGGGTCATGATGGATTCTCCATCACTGGCTATTTTTAAAATCAAGATTGGATGTTTCTCTTGGATATGCTCTAGAAATTATTTTGGGGAAATTCTATGGCCCGTGTTATGCTGGAATGTCAGACTAGACGATCACAACACGGTCCTTCTGGCCTTGGAATCCATAAATGAATTGTCCAGCTTTGGATTCCAATTTTTACGCACAGAGAATGGAAATTCTTGTAACTGGACATAATTCTTTGAAACAGAAATGGAATTTCCTACTAGCTAATGCAAAACTCATTTGTGGAAACACTTGTATTCCTGACCTTCCTATTGCCAACTGAAGAAAAAAAAAAGTGTTGAAAAAACTGTCTACGTGGTAATATTGCATTATCTATCTTAAAAAGCAACTTCAAAACAAAAATCTTTATGTTTGCCATTTATTCTCATTGTTTTGTACAGAAATATGCTAGCAATGCTAGTCAGACAGTTTATCCAAAATGGCTAGCACTTAATTCCTGTAGCACAGGCAAATTACATAATTCCGTGCTATTTTAAAATCACTTTCACATCATTCTGAAAATAATAATATAAATAATTTTAAGTTAATCATTTAACAAAGACTAAAAATATTAATCAGTTTCTCAATTGGTTTCTATTTGCAAAAGTGAAAAATCCATCCACCAAATGTTTGGGGTTTTTTGTTTGCCTATTATCAAAGTGACCTATTGTATCAGCTCTCCTCAGTAGCACCTTCATCCCGTTTAACGGGCTGGGAGAAAATGCTATTGACAAAAGCAGAATTAGAACTCTGAACAGGTCGAGTTCTTTTCTGCCGCTCCCAGTACTCTCACATTGGCTCAGTATATGCGAGTTCCCACTCCCCAGCACCTCCCATGTTCTTGAAATGGCATTTGTTTCTCAGGCTCCCTACCACGGGCCAGCACCCGATTTAAAAAAAAAAAAAATCAAATGCAGAAAAGTTTCAGAGCAGATAGAGATTGATTCCTTCACCTAGTAATACAGGAAAGAGCTTTGCAATCCTTAATTGCTACTCAAAGACTTTGATGTAAGGGATGCTGACTATGGCCCAAAAGTATCAAATGCCCTAGTTTTATATCAGTAGTTCTAACTAGAACTGATAGAATAGTAACACACCCCACCCTTCTCGTTTTTTTCTGTGATGCCTGGAGCCATATTGAATGTCCACCATGAATATTCAGGTATCCACCATTCAGTCATAAGACTGTCCACAAACACCAAGCATTTCAGGAATTTTATGACAAACACGTATTCATCTGAAAATATCTACCAGATGTTTGTTAATCTCCTGTTTTAAAAACTTCAGTCAATCAGGAGGCAGAAACAATATGATTTAGTACTTGGGTGACAAATCGGACAACAATGGAGTCTGCTTCTTTTCAGCAGTACTTCTGTCCCAGGAAACCACAGCAAGAACTTGGTGCTAGAACTGAGATCATCATCATGGGTCTGTCATGAATGTGGATGTCAGATCTCAGTGCTAGCAACATGTCCAGAACATGAACCTAGGTCCTTAGCCCTCCTCCTCCTCCCCTGCCCCCCCCCCTTTTTTTTTTACCTTTGTGATGGAAAACATATAAACTCTTCCCTCTTCTTTCTTTAGCTCATTCATGAACATTGGTGCACCTACTAGCAGCACATCTGTAACTGAATCTCTGTTAACATCCACTGCACACACCACACTGCCAAAGTAGGAGCCAATCTGGAATTGATAACACAAGAGTAATTTATGTCTCTAAAATTACACTGTTTTTGCACCTCATCCTGCAAACACTTGCACGTGTGTGCGAACAGTTCAACTGAATTAAATGGGACTGCTCACAAGAAAAGCTACTTGTGTAACTTTCCTACATGTTAGAAGATTCAGCCACTTACTGAGTATTCATTATTACTTTACACACCTTATTTCTCTTCATTATTTTTTTGGACAGCATCATACTGTTGCTGCTATGGCACTAACATAGTGTAATAAGACTATAAATGGAGAAGAGAGTGCTGTGCAATATATTTCTTTTTTATGTTAAAATATGCACATGAAATAGCCCAACCTGTGATTTACTTTTATATTTACCTGCTTTCATAACATAAAAATTCAAACTTTCAGCATCATGACAAGGCTTTCACAGTGGAGAAAGGAATATCGTGAACTTGCAAATCAGTCTTGCGGTACCATCTCTCCTCCAGAAGACCTCTCATGAAGAGAAGATGGATGTCCATGGCATCTCCCACAACTAGAGGTATTTACATAGAGGGCCAGATAATGTTTTTCCCATACCTAATTGCCATGATTCTACAAGAGACTGTGTGAAAGTCACAGAAAATCTCAAATTCACTGCTAGAGTGTAGCTACAGGGGAACGGACAGATATGCTGCTAAACGTTTTGTAAGACAAAATTAATTTCAAAGAGACATTACATACATTACCGCTGCCAATCATGAATAACCAGTTTCAGTGCTGCATCAGTAAAAATAGATATCTACAAATTTTTTGTCCATGAACAAAATGATCGTACTTGCCTGATCCCCTCTCTGGGACTGAACAACTGTGACTCTGCCATGGCTGTCGATGTCATAAACCACAACTCTGCCAGTGTAGTTTGATCTTGGTGCACCAGCAACAAAATAGACAGTGTTCTGGGTTGAGATAACAGCAACAGAATAACCTAGAAAAGAAGTCAACATGACAATTGTGAGATATTATCTAGCAAAGTAGGCAGAGTTAGGGGTTGCCTACTAAGGTTATAAGCTAGGGCATGAATTTAAAGCTCAATAGCTATCCTGAACAAGCCCTCTGTGCAAACATTCTCATTCTTCACTCCCAAAGTGGATTAAGTTAAAATGCAGAAAGGCCCTCTGTGTAAAATAAGGCCAGGTTTACACTACAGACTTACATCGATATCACTATGTTGCTCAGGGATGTGAAAAATCCACAGCCTTGAGCAACACAGTTATACTGTGCTAGCCCTCGGGGTAGACAGTACTGTGGTGACAGAAGGACTTCTCCTGTTGACATAGCTACTGTGTCTAGTGGAGGTGGATTAACTATGCTGATGTGAGAACCTCTGTCGTCGGCATAGTACTGTCTTCACTGAAGCACTACAGAGGCACAGCTGCACTGCAGCATTTTAAGTGTAGACCTTCCCTAAGAGTGTCTATATGTGGAGCTAGTGCAGAATAGCTATTCTGGACTATTTCCCTGTACACAAGTCCTTAGTTACCCACTAGAAAAACAGAAGATATGACATGGTGTCTTAGCTGCAGAACATTGTACAGCCAGGTCAGAGATTCAAGTTTGGAAGCTACGTTGTCACTCATCACTTAGCTCACTTACACTTGCATTTATTTGTTAAGGAGATATGGTTTTCAGTGGAGGAGAGTGAAATGCAACTCCTTGTGACCGATTTGTAGGGCAACACTGGCTTATAGAGCACGAAACAGACAACAAAAATGTCAGCTGCATGCAAATGAGAGTTAGGGGGAAAAAAGGTGGAAATGGCCCTGAAATGGAGGTAGAAGAAACTAGGGGCCACCATCACAGCCATTCTTCAAATTGGGCCATGTTTGTGAAAGAAACCCACTGGATGATGATGGGCTCAATGCATTCTCCCACAAGACACAAAACCACTAATCCCGGTTAATGAACACACTACAATGCTTGACTGTACATGGTAGGACATGTTAATAGTCCATCAATCAGATTTCAGATTGATGGACTTTTTCTAAAAATTGCTAATCCTCTCCACCACTATTATAACTTAAACTGCTCTGCAGGAAATATCTTAATACTGGGAAACATTTTTAGTACGTATTATCTCTGTAAACCAGTTTTACTACATATTTTGTATTACTACAAAAACATTTAGCTGTAAGGTTTAGGCTTACACTGAAGAGCAATTTAACAGTAAAACTTGGAGAAGTTTTGCCAGGCAAATATAAACTTTTATTCTACGAAGAGTCATTTAGGTGTTTAATGGCACTGATAAAGTGTCAAGGGATCAACCAGAGATTGCCGTACAGAAATCCCTCATTAGGATGGAAAAACAAGTCTATCAAAAATGAATGGTGAAAGCCTAAACAAAAACGGTGGCTTCCTGTATATTACAAGATATCTAACTCTCCTGGCTCTTAGTGTTCCAAAGTACATATTGCATCAGTGTGGGGATATAGCAGGTCACCAAGCTGTAAAGTTTGCTGGTTTTGGCTGAGAACAGAAATGTTTGTCAGAAAACTAATAGCAGATATAAATAAAATGTCTATTAAACTGCAGTGATGTTACTAAGGACATAAATCAAACTGGAAAAGGCCACTGAAGGAATAAGCATGGATGAGTTGCTGACAACTAAATAAGCTTCTGACCTAACATCAAATAGGAAATATATAGGCAAACAAAAATCAGGGATATAAAAAGACCCCCTGATTATAAACTAAGTAGCCTTTTTCAATCCCTGTCATTTCTTACATTCTTGTAATGTATGTGTCCCAAGAATTTTTCATCTTATGTCTTTAATATTTCAGTTAACATTCATTCAGAGTTTTAAAAATAATTAAAACAATAAATGTTTCATTCAGTTTCAGTGAATCAATTGACCAGTAAATGAAATCCATTTATGTACAGAATTTCCCTTTCCTCTCAAATCAGTACTTAAACAGGAGACTGCTAGAAAGTAATTTGCCATTTTTGCCTGTCTTTGATTAACTTTAGATATACTACATAATAAATGTTACCGCCCCTTACCTAAATAAGAGCTATGGTTTCTGTCTTGTAGAATTTTTTCAAATGCTTGATTAGGGAACGTAGTCACGTAGTTTGAGGTCTCCTGGACTACAGTCCCACTCCAGTCATAAGCCCCAACAGCACCCAACATCAGAACATCCTTTAAACAATACAATCAGAATTTTAGAGCTACCTACTCTTCCATAAGTACAAGGGAAGCAGAAGTTACAGTATATGTATGGTGTAATCCATTTACATTAATTATGTTTAGATACTCTGAACCCTCAGAGATGGAGTAAAATGACATAGTAATAACCTCCCTGTAACCCCAATCCTGACTCCTCTATACACAATAGCTTAAATAACTGGAAATAACAGTGGAGACAGAAAAACATTTACAAAAATTTTGCCCTTGCAGATGGGCCCCCCTCTTCTTCCTAAAGGTCTTTTAAAATGTAATACCCAATTAAGATAGCTTATATATAAACAGTTTATATATGGTAATTACTTGCAAAAAACCCCATCAGTTGGACTACAGTAGAACCACAGAGTTACGAACACCCGGGCAATGGATGTTGTTTGTAACTCTGAAATGTTCTCTAACTCTGAGCAAAATGTTATGGTTGTTCCTTCAAAAGTTTACAACTGAACATTGACTTTATACAGCTTTGAAACTTTACTATGCAGAAGAAAAATGCTCCTCCCCCCCCCCCTTTTTAGTAGTTTACATTTAACACAGTACTGGACTGTATTTGCTTTTTTAAAAAATCTCTGCTGCTGCCTGATTGCATACTTCCACTTCCAAATGAGCTGTGTGGTTGACTGGTTAGTTCATAACTCTGGTGTGTGTAACTCCGAGGCCCTACTGTATTCAAATTCTTAAAGTTACTCATGTGCTTAAGAACCCTGTTGAACTGATGGCTTAAAAAGGAAATTGGGAATAGAAAATATTTGCACATATGCAACTTGCCTGACTAAGCAGAGGGAGACTGCTTAATTTTTGATATATCCTGACTAACTGTCTCACAAGCTTAATGTTGCATTAATATTGAAGTTCTTTTTATTCATGTAAACTTCCCTAATTTTTTTGTTTTTAGGGAAGAAATTAAAAATAGATATATTTATCAGGTTTGAAGAGCTTGAAAACTGCTTGAACTACAGCTGGACTTTGCATATTTAGACTAGGAATTCTTTATTTGGCTGAGGTATCCTTAAACATGTTTAATACGAAAAAATAGTTGAAAAATGTGTGTATGTGAAAGGTGCCAAAAACATTCTTAACTTTGAAAATACTACACAAAAACTTTCTTCACACTTGAATTATTACTTACATCTCCATGAATGTTAACAAACAAGCCAGTTTTGAAATATTTAGTTTCAATTTTCTGAGTTATTCAAGCACAAGACATCAAATTAGAACAGGAGAATTGTTCATGCTTGGTGAACTCAGAAATGGCTGAACTGATTTTGACCAAACTTAAAATAATAACTATTAAAAAAAATCCAACCCAATTTGCATAATTTGTTTGAGAAAATAAGCAGCTGAAAAAAATAAAAAATAAAAAGAGGACGGCTTAGAATAGAAGCCATTACTCAACATTAACGCTATAATAAAAAGTATTATTTCACTTTTCATCGTGGTATATTTTCTCTTTCTCCTTCCAACCAGGATGTAAATTAGTTTTGTGGTACTACAGATAAACTACCTCTGTTCCACTTTCCTGGTTTATATTAGAAGAAAATCTAAATGAAATTTGATCTGTATATTGTATTGTTGCTTATTATTCTTATTTTGTTAAATTTATACATGAACTTATGTATATGTAATTATATCTACATGCTTCATTTGAGACAGTTTTTATATCATACCAGCATTATACACTAAATGATTAAATATACGTACCTTTTTTTGTGAGTAATAAGCACTGAAGCCCACTTGGGACATTTCCATTTGGAATGTATCACCTTGATCTGTACCTGGTGCAATAACCATTATTTTGAAAGTTATTCATGTATCATTAAGTCTGTTGAACATTATTGTTGCTACATATTGGGCCCTATCTTTCTGCCATTGAAGTCAGCTGAAGCATGACTGGAACAATTTGTCAAATAAATAATTTGCTCCCAAAAGTTCACCCAAAATATACACAACAGTTGTAGAGTATGGAAATATAATTGATAAAAAGGTAATAATGTTTATCAAGATTTTAATAATGACTGGGTCACATCAGCATTTATCATACATTCATGCAAAGACAGCCTGTAACCCCTTAATAGAAACAGGGAGTAGATCCTCAGCTGGTGTAAACTGTCAACAGCTCCTCAGCCCCAATGGGTATATTACCTTCTATGCTAAATATGCGTTCTCCCAGTGTTCCTGCTTCTTCCAATAGTGCAGTCTCAGATGACACGTTAAAAAAATACTTTTCTGTTGGAAGACTCGCAATTCCTTTGATTTCTTTAATTAAATTTTTAGTATCAAGTTCATTTCTGATTAAATAACCCAAAACCTTGAAAAGAGAAAAAGAAACTTCAGTGTGGCTCCATTTCCCTCAGTATCACACACACAGAGAGATATTTTATACATGACAGGAAAATGAAATTAATGTGCACACTCCAGACAATGCCTGTAGTTTCCCCTGATCCTTCACACCCTTCCCATCATGGATTCTACATCAGCCTCCTGACATCTGTGGGTAAGGTGAACTGATGGGAATGCATAAGAAAAATGCAACATTTCTGCCATTTATAATAAATATTAAGGTCTATAAACTGGATCTGAATTCCCCCACTTTGCAACTGGTGCAGTCATTTCCACCCAGGCTGAAGGAGCACACAGTGGGTGTGTAATGCTACAAAAGCAGAATGGTAGAATTTTCCAGTTCCTTCACACATGATAAATGACTATCCAAGATGTAGGACAGCAGAGGATCAAGCCCTGTATTCTGAATCCCTTTTATTGAAAAACATCAACTTTGAAATATTTTGTATATCATATACAACAGGAACGAAAAAGAATATTATGGAGGGTAGACTAATCCCACTATTTTCAGCTAACATAAATGGATGACAATAATAATTCTAATGAACTAAAGCCTGCTGATATTACAGTGGCTCCTAAAGATGAACTCCCTCCCCGTCCTAGTCTCGCTGATATGATGCATGAATACATACTGTTAATTAAATCAGTCCCACCAAAATTACAGCATTAATTATAGTATTACTTACAGCTATGCCAAATCTGGTTATTTTGTCCTCATTGCATTTAGTTATCACTTCTTGCAAACTTGAGCCATCGTGTGATTCACCGTCTGTCACAACGACCATTACTTTTGTAGCTGTGGGCCGTCCACCAGATTCAGTGGAAAAAGCATGACGTCTGTGATAAAGAAAGCACTAGACTCATTACATGCATATTTTAATGAATGCTTCCATCATTGACTTAGAACAAAGTGCATCTGGAGTGTTTCTTTATTGGAACACATAGGCCCAGATTTTTAAACCTATTTAGGCACTGCTGTACTACACCTGAGCTGTGCTACGCTTACCTGATTTTAGCTCTCATTTTTAAAAGGGATCTAAGTGTTTAGGAGTCTAAATCCCTAAATTAACTGTTAATGGGATTTTGGTTCCTAAATGCCTAAATCACTTTTGAAAATCATATTTAGGCTCCTATATCAGTTAGGTGTGGCACAACACTGCCTCAATAGGTTTAAAAATCTTGGCCAAAGTCCTTCATTAATAATAGTTTAGCACTTATTGCACTTTTTGCCTTCAAAGCACTGTTCAAACATCAAAACCGGAAAATGTTTTGGTCAAAGCAAAATTTTGGAAACATGTTATCTGAATAATCTTTAATCTGGGTTTCCTGTGCAAATTTATGTTCGATTAAAAAAAAAAGTCCAAAAAAGTTTTGACCAGCTCTACTCTCAATACTCTCGAGAGGCAAAATAAATAAATAAAATCAGGTATTAGCTCCATTTTGCAGACACAGAGGGAAACGAAAACAAGGAAGATCCCTATAGATTTGGAACTCACTGTATTCAGACTCTGTCTCTAAACAAGTAGCCCAAGGTCACTGAGTCAGTTAGTGTTCGACCCCTATTAAAAGTGCAGTTCTATGCTGAAAATTGAGTGTGTAAAAATAGTGCCTGCTTACTTAACAGATCATTGCCTGTGAGTGTAATCAGAGTTACTTTACTGCCCAAAGTAAGTTTTTACTGCTGCTAAACACGACAAAGTCAAAAGTCCTATTGGAGAAAGGGTCTGATTCTGTGATAGTTTTCACACAATCAACCAAGATCTTATCCTGTAAACATTTAAACGTGCAGTCACATTGAGTCAATGAGTAAAATTTGCCTGGTAAGTCATTTTGCATCTTTCTTAGAAACTCATCGTGCAAGATAGCGAGAACCTTCAGAGAGGTTCTTTGATTCCCAGGGGCCCCAGAGGCAGTACTAACCTCTCACGAGGTGCTCAGCACCTTCCAGGATCAGATCTCTAGTTACAAAAGTAGCATAACAATTATTGGTGCACTTTACCTTGCATAGTCAATTGCTTTGAAAGTATTAGTCAAGTCTCCTCCTTTTTGAAAAGTCTGCGACATTGCTTTAACAACATCTTCTTTTGTTTTGTAGGTATTCAGGTTGAACACTATCCTTGGATCATTACCATATTGAATTAAACCCACCTAAACATCATCACACAAAAAAAAATTAGATTGTCGTGCGTTCAAATCAATTACACAGAATTAAAATACCAAAATTATTTGTCAAACTGATGCACAGGATTAAAGTTCAAAATGATCTTGACAGACTGGAGATATGGTCTAAAATATGGTGAAATTCAATAGAGACAAATACAAAGTGCTGTACTTAGGAAGGAATAATCAATTTCACAGATACAAAATGGGAAATGACTGCCTATGAAGGAATTCTGAAGAAAAAGATCTGAGGGTTAGAGTGGATCACAAACTAAATGTGAGTCAACAATGTAATACTGTTGCAAAATAGCGAACATCATTCTGGGATGTATTAGCAAGAGTGTTGTAAAGCAAGACAGGAGAAGTAATTCTTGCACTCTACTTGGCACTGATAAGGCCTCAACTGGAGTAGTGTGTCCAAGTTCTGGGCACCACACTTTGGGAAAGTTGCGGACAAATGGGAGGCAGCCCACAGGAGAGCAACAACTACTAAAGGTCGAGGAAGCATGACCTACAAGGAAAGAATGAAAATTGGGCTTGTTTAGTCTGGAGAAGAGAAACTGAGATGCAACATGATAACAATCTTCAAATATGTAAAAGGTCATTATAAAGAGGAGGGTGATAAAATGTTCTTCTTAACCATTGGAGAGGACAAGAGAAATGGGTTTAAATTGCAGCAAGGGAGATTTAGGTTAGACGTTAGGAAAAATTTCACAACTGTGAGGGTAATTAAGCACCGGAACAAATTGCCTAGGGAGGTTATGGAATCTCCAGTCATTAAAGGTCTTAAAGATCATTTAAGAACAGGTTAGACAAAAAACGGTCAGGGATGGTCTACAGCAGTGGTTCTCAAACTTATTTGATCACGCCCCCACTTCGTGTCTGTAATTGTTTATGCCCTCCCATGCCACACAAGTGCAGAGACTGCCACCCACCTCTGAAGGTAGAGCAGAGAGCAGCAGCTGCTGGCCAGCCACCCAGCGCCTAAGGCAACTCTGCGCCAGCAGCAGTGGACAAGTAAGCGTGGCAATGTAAAAAGTGATATTTATCAATATCACTTTTCACAGCAGACTTAGTGCCCCATTGCCACCCTTACTTCTGCGCTGCTGCTGAGGACTGAGGAGGGGGAGAGGGGAAGGAGAGTCCAAGCTTGGGTGGCAGGTTCTGGCTGTCCCCTTTATCCCTTCCCCCCACCTCCCGGATGTGCACGGCCCTTCTGCCTGAGCCCCAGCTACCAGGGGTTGACAGCTGGAGCTTTTTTTTTTTTTTAAACCGGGGGGGGGGGGAATACAGCTCAACCTCCCTTGACACATTCCCATGCCTCCAAAGGGCATGCCCCATAGTTTGAGAACCACTGGTCTAGAGAATACTTAGTCCTGCCTCAGTGCAGAGAACCAGACTCAATGACCTATCAAAGTCCCTTCCAGTCCTACATTTCTATAATTCTGTATAGAAGGTGGTATATTTTTCCTTCATCACATACAACCCCAATTAATATTATTGCCCATGTTTGCAAAGTAAAACAATGTCACAAACTCTTACAGTAATTTACATCTTGTTTCTTTAATCTACCCTACTCAACAATAAATGAAGACATGATCTAATTGTTTGCACTAGACTTTTTTGCCTCCTAAAAGTTCCCTACATAGCTTCTACCACTGCATTTCTACTGGTGGGTACTCTAGCATAGATACAGAATTGTCAGCAGTCAATATTTTTATCACTATCTCATCTAGACCTGCTCTATAGAAATTCCATAGGAAATTACTTGATAACATTGTACATTCCTTTTATTTTATAGTATAAATTAATAGAGAAGTGTATTAAGACATACATTTAACATGGTGAAGAAGAAATGAAGACACTAAGTATCTGTTACATGACTGAATAATTACTGCCAAGGTTTTTGAATTTTCTAAACTTGGAGTGATTGAGCCTGCAATCTTAATATTGTTTCAATACTAGTATTTTGCATTTAGTTTTCAGGTTTTAAGGAAAAAAATTGAGAGAAAAAAACCCCTGGGAATATTAGCTTGAGCAACCTTGAAAATGGATTTTAAAAGTTACTTGCTCCTATTAGGCTCTTAAGTTCCATTCTACACAATGATGTGTTTTGTACAACTCAAACTTCAAGTGAAGTTCTTAGGTGTATAGCTGCTGGACCAAATTAGATACACCTCTATTTAAGTGCATACTTTAGTCTTCAGGAAAATTTCCACTGCTGGTCATAAAGTGATTTTGATGTAGTCAAGGTATCTCAAAACAAGAAAAATGCTAGCCCACATTGAGAGCTATGTTTCAGACACCAGCAATGTTTGCTAGAACACTGTCTAAAAGTAGGTGATTAGTTTTTTCAAAAAAATGGGGAAAAATCTTCCTCCTCAAATTTAAAAATATAATTTTTCTCAAAATCATCATCACTTTCAGAGAGAAACAAGCATGGAAAATTCTGCATCAATGTTGTAGATTTTGGAAAGCTATGATTGTATGAAAAGTGGGCTTAAAATGGAAAAGGTTTTACAACTTTAGCCATACTGAGAGTATGGAGGTACAAAACTCTGGGGGGAGGAAAAGATGTGTTCTGCTCTCAATATATGCACAGAGCTCAAATTTTAATGATTGTTACACATTATCATTAAAATGGAGATTAGACCTTTAAGTATACTGGAAATAATCTAAAGGAGTACTTGTGGCACCTTAGAGACTAACCAATTTATTTGAGCATAAGCTTTTGTGAGTTTAGTTTCGTTAGTCTCTAAGGTGCCCCAAGCCCTCCTTTTCTTTTTGCGAATACAGACTAACACGGCTGCTACTCTGAAACCTGGAAATAATCTAGCTCTCTCGTGACACAAACTATGTACTGGAATAAATTAATCAAAATGGAATATTCCCTTTTGAAACATGAGTTAGCTTTATGACAAAAGCCCTGATCCTGAGAGATGCTGAACAACTGCAAATCCCAGTGACTTTGATGGGAGCTGTAGATATTCAGGATCTCTCAGGATCAAACCAGGGGTTAGCTTTACCTTAGCAAACTTAATTTCCTTTAATAAAATTCATTGCTACCTTCCTTCTGTTTCAAAATAATGTTTTTTGACTTACCTGAGTTTTTGTGGGGCCTATATCTAAGCCTTGGACAAATTTTGTCAAAAACGCACTCACTGCATTCCAGGGATAAATGCTGTTTGACTCATCACACACAACAACAACATCTATGAAGGAGGAACAGTCTAAAAGAGAAAAGATGACTGATAAAAGGACACTGAATGCACAAAATTTACTTACAACTCATGAGCCAAATCCAGATGTCCATACCTAGTCCACATGTAAGCAAACTTCTGTTGATGTCACAGGAGGTTTGCCTGAATGAGAATAGAATAAAATCCCAGCCTGATACACAGATGTAAATGCACCAAAATCAGCAAAGTTACCACTGATTTTCACCAGTAAGTGAGATCAGAATCAAGCCCTGAGTGTGAACCTCAGGATTAGGCTCTTTTTAAACTGAATTTTTTAAAATTCAAAAGGTAATTACTTTTGGATTCCATTACATGACATCTCTCTTCATTTCAATGGATTTATTTATTACTGAATCTATTTTACATGCATTGCCTTACTTTGAAGAGCAGGTGAAAAGCTTCTTAAGATCTGGAAACTGGGACTGATTTCAGAACAGACTCCTGTTGCATAGTACTGACTTCCACACTGCTGGGCCCACAAGGGACCACAAGTCTTTAAAAAATAAAATGAGGAAAATATAAAACAACATGTATCCTGTCATTTCACTCCTTTACATACCTTCATGAGAGTGTCACAATCAAATACAGCACAGGAGACCAGTGGAATAGCTCCCTCCCAGGAAGACACAATATTGACCGAGACTAACCACGAGGTGGCACTGTTACCATGAGTTGGTTCTTATGAGTACACACACACACACACACACACACACACAGTAGCAGTTTGCCTTTGGTATTTGCTGCAGAATACTTATTACCTGGTAACTACACATGGTACTGCATGGCCAAAACGTTTTCTGTTAGCTCATGAGGTGTTTTGTGTGTGTCTCCACACCATGGATAAAAATAAAGTTTAAAAAATAATGGATTTACTAATTTGAGAATTCTTTGTTCCACAAGAAAATATATTTCAAAACTGTGGATAAGACATTTATAACTTTTGTCTGTACTAACTTCAGTCTTGATCGTAAGATGATTTTTGAAAAAATAAGTAGAGAAAGAAAGACATGTGAAGACTATATTTTTTGAGAGACCCAAGGTAGGTGAGGTAATATCTTTTATAGGACAGAAGCTGATAGAGATATATAAAATCATGAGTGGTGTGGAGAAAGTGAATAAGGAAAAGTTATTTACTTGTTCCCATAATATAAGAACTAGGGGCCACCAACTGAAATTAATGGGCAGCAGGTTTAAAACAAATAAAAGGAAGTTCTTCTTCACAGCGCACAGCCAACCTGTGGAACTCCTTGCGTGAGGAGGTTGTGAAGGCTAGGACTATAACAGGGTTTAAAAGAGAACTATATAGATTCATGGAGGTTAAGTCCATTAATGGCTATTAGCCAGGATGGGTAAGGAATGGTGTCCCTAGCCTCTGTTTGTCAGAGGGTGGAGATGGATGGCAGGAGAGAGAGATCACTTAACTTATGTTAACAGCCATACTAAGTCAGACCAAAGGTCCATCTAACCCAGTATCCTATCTGGACAGTGGCCAATGCCAGGTGCCCCAAAGGGAATGAACAGAACAGGTAATTATCAGCTGGTCCAATAAAAGATATTACCTCACCAACTTTGTCTCTCCAATATCCTGGGTCCATAATAACACTGCATAAGGCTATGTTTTTTGTCATTTAGGGTCTTAAAAGTTTTTTCTGTTCCTTCCATGCATGGCACGAGTTTAAAAGTTGAAGCATCAATTTAAAAAAAATTGATTTGAAAAACAAAACTGAATACAAGTTATTAAATATATAAATGGGACTGTATGATGCACAAGAATGGGGTATTAAGCCTATCTTGGTCTGAATTTGACCAAACTGGAAAGAGAAGACCCATAAAGTTGCTTTTACATGAGAGTTGTTCAGTGGCCTATATGATACGAGCTGGTGTCAGTCAAGTTCTTCTGCACAGGCAACCACAATACAAGAACCAATTCAGCAATAGGGTCAAGAGTTGATTAACAAGAAAAACTGAACTCTCCTCGAGTTAGTCTTTTCCAGACAGGCTTAAGACACATTGGTGGAGGCACAAGGAAGTTTCCAATGCCGCTGCTTATATTGTATCTATACTATTGTTGATCAGAATATAATACTTTCTAGTAAGACAGTACAGCACCTTTCAGAGCCCCACCTAAACACTTTTACAGCAATGTGAAGCAAGGAAGAGAAGGAATGTTCTACACTTCAACAGGTTCTCTCTTCCCCTTGTACTTTGTTAGCTCCTGTCAACAGTTTCCTACTTGCTCCCTCTCTTACACAGTGAATGGATTCAATGGTTATTGACAGGCTACTTCAGTTATTTTGTGTTTTAACAAACTAAAAGTAAAAAACAGCATTATGTTAAGGTGCATGGCAGCTGGATTAATTGCACGTGCTGTATGATTTACAAATCTATACCTACAATGCTTTGCTGGAATATTTGGGACCAGTAGATTGCAATGCAAGACGCACTGAAATATAAAATCGTTTCTATTTTAAATATGACAGCGAGAACAAAATGAACCATTTGTGTAGGATAGATCAGGCTGGCTGCTGCTACTCTAGTATTCATTTTGTTCTAACAGATGAATCATAGGCAGGGGCAGGCTCAGAGTTTTTTACTAAGGCCAATGTAAACTAAAAAGAAAATAAGATATAGGCCTTGAAGCTCCAGTATGCTGGGATCTCCCTCTGTGCACCAGAACGGCAGAATGGGGGACAAAAGTGGCTTTTATGCTACCTTTCTGCCCACACCCCATGATCTTGGAGTCAGCCAGAGGATGGCCAAAACTCCTCTTACTCCCAGAACACCTTAAGAACGGCCATACTGGGTCAGATGAATGCTCCATCTAGCCCAGTGCCTGTCTTCAGACAGTGATCAATGCCAGTCTGCCCCAGAGGGAATGAACAGAACAGGTAATCGTCAAGTGATCCATCCCCTGTTGCCCATTCCCAGCTTCTGGCAAACAGAGGCTAGGGACACCATCCCTGCCCATCCCAGCTAATAGCCATTGATGGACCTATCCTCCATGAACTTATCTAGTTCTTTTTTGAACCCTGTTATAGTCTTGGCCTTCACAACATCCTCTGATATGGAGTTCCACAGGTTGACTGTGCGTTTGTGAAAAAATACTTCCTTTTGTTTGTTTTAAACCTGCTGTCTATTAATTTCATTTGGTGATTCCGAGTTCTTGTGTTATGAGTAAGTAACACTTCCTCATTTACTTTCTCCACACGAGTTATGATTTTATAGACTTCTATCATATCCCCCCTTAGTCGTCTCTTTTCCAAGCTGAAAAGTCCCAGTCTTATTAATCTCTCCTCATACGGAAGTCGTTCCATACCTTCTACACCGGGTATGGCGTTGAAACAAAGCAGTGG